TTTTTTTTTGGCGGTGGGCGAACTCATCGGTTTCTCCCTATTCATTGAAATGTTTCCGTGCAGAACGACATGCATTCGATTTGTTTTCGATGAATACTCCCTTTCTGAATTGCTAATGCTTTGTTAGTATCCTGCACCACAGAATACTTCACAGTACTAATAAGTCGCGTAGTACTAATGCCGTAAATCTGTATCGTGAAATATCACAGATGAACAATCGACTGCAAGATTCTCCGCTTCGAAGGGGTAATCTGACAATGAGAGCGAATGTCAAAGTTGTTCCTAATTCGATCAGATAATAGAGTAAGGGCACTCGAGTGTGAGGCACCCTTTCGTAATGTTTTTTGTAGAATTGCAAAACAGTTGATGTCGGCTGCGCAAGCATGATTTTCTTTCTCCATCCACATTTTTTTAAGTTTGAAGTGCAATTGGGAAGCACTTTCAAAACTTTAAAAAAAAATCATTCCCGGGGGGTAGTGTGTTTAAGGACAGCTGAGGCCTCTCTGAGCAGAAGGCTCTAAAAGCAATCTCCCTATGTCCCAGGCCTCTTTTCTCATTTAGATTCCAATACATCAGAAAGTTATAGCCCTATGACTAGACGGTTGCCATAAATGGCAATGGGATCTTCTGTGACATCGTCGAGACCGGTTTATCGAGTATTGTCATCTTTCGTGATTATGTGAAACACAGCCAAACCTGAGCGATTCATTTGTAGAGTGATGACCAAAACGATAATGATGAGGGAACATCATCATTATTGAAACATTTCCATCTAATACTGGTCCCCAATTGGAAATTCAGCGTACTGTGGGAATATCGATTGGTTTAGTGCAAAGAAAAATAAAATAAAATAGAAAGAATCGATGAATGGTGAGTTCATTGTTGGCCATAAAGGGCTCGCACTAAAAGTGTACTAAGCATTCACAAGTTTCCTTTCATGCGTAAAGAAAAACAGGTCGATACTGATTGTCCCAAANAAAGAGTACTCCTACATTCAACCATCTATTTTTTTTATTTGTATATTTTTTTATAAATAATAAGGTATAGGAATCGGCTGGGCGCTGACATGGCACGTGGCAGAGAGACTGTACGTCGAAGGTCTTCGAGCAGCTCAGAATCTCCTTTACTTAGTATTTTCCCTGCGGTTCAGTCTTGATTGGGCCACTACATGTGGGCATTCGTATAATTCGAGGTAAGCCCAAGCCTGTTCCCTTCTGGTTGTTTCCGTTTGCCGGACACTGATGCTGTTTTCAGGTATTGTGTGAATTTTAACGAAGAAAACATCACAGTTGGCGACTTCCATCATAGTCCAGAAAATCACTGGCCCGCGCAGGAATTCAACAGGTTTGCCGAGTCCTTCCTTCAGTTTCTCCTTGTTTTGATCGCATTTGCCCCCCATACGCCCTGCACTTGGAATCCTATCGATACGAAGGCAAACGTGAGTGTTTGCGTAAGAGTGTAGAACCACAGAGGTTCGAACTGGGGGAATCGATAAGCGTATATTTGACTAAGCCGCAACGAGCGCGTACATGGACGGGGGGGGGGGGGGGGGGGGGGGGGGGGGGAGAGGACTCGGGGGAGAAAATTGCGTCGCCAGTGATAAACGAGCCACACTTCGAGACAAATGGCATGACATGAGGGCAGAAAAAAGGCAATGAAAAGCTGGTGTCGTCCAGCTCCCACTTATTGACCGCTGTAGTTGCAGTACGGCGTTGAGCTAGGGGATTCACTTATAGGCGCCTCCCGGAGTGCAGGGTCTGATGGGAAGAGAGTGGAAAGCGTTGTTAGGGAAACGAAAACTACTGATATAAATTTCTTCATAACTGGCTCCGAACGCTTCAAGATAAATGCTCTGGATCATTAATCTTGAACATTTCTTAGATAGCCGAGCTAGAGGAAAGAAACTGAACGACGTTTGTATTTTGCTGGTTAGCCTGGGAAAGAAATCCTGAAGAAACACCTCCATGGTAGAGGTTGTCGGCTACGATAACCACCAGAAAATCTCCCGGAAATTTATATTTCCAATACCTGGCCCTCCTGATTAATTATTTCTTTACTGGAATAGAATTGTGAAAGCGATTCATTGCATGGATTTGGGATGAAAGTGCCAGAATAGACTTTTTAAAAGCAGAAAAACACCCTAATGTCATGGGAAAATGAGTATCGAGACAGAAAGATGTGGGGATTGTGCATGCTGTGTGGGGCAACATCTTCTTTTTCTGTTGTTTACCTTTTCCTCAACTTCCTCCTTTGGAAATCAGTCTTTCTGAGTTCAACGCTATTCACTTACTGATGTTACTGAACTGTTTGTTTTTGAAATATTATAATATATTATGTAGATCCTCATGCTCAGTCGCAAATCCTTCATAACAACAACCTTGCCAAAATATTTTGTGTTAGTGAAAAATTGAAAACGGTGTTTGTTTACCAAGTGGATTTCTCAAGCTATCATGTTGCCTCTTTGCTTTGTTGTCAGCTAAAGAATCGCGTTTACGAAGTCATTTACGCTGGGCTTCTTTTATGTCGGGAGACCGATATAATTCCCAGAAAGAACTTGCGTACATGGTTGACAGAAGGAGTATCTTCACTGCCGATCATCTATCTTTCCTCGACTTCGACTTCCTCGTCCCAAGTAAACTAATTCAACAGTGAATATGGGCTTCCCTTGAATTCACTCATCCGGGTGACTTACGTATGTCGCTACTTTTTATTCTTTCATCGTCCATTCAGCTCAAATTAGAAATTGTTTGGAAAATCATGGATTTTCTGAATTTACCAGACAATGTTCGCACTTCAAGGGTTTACAAACGGTTGAGTCCCAAACCCACGCTTTTGTTCCCAGGGACATTGCCAACTCATCGCAAAACACTGAGGGACTCGTTGAATTTCCACAGGCACGCAGAGAAGAAGTGGCTTTTGGCTATGAATCTGTTCACGTTATGTGTCTCACATGTTGTATGTACAGTCACATTTTGTGACTGTATTGGGCTGGTTGCTAAGCCATTTGCTAAGTGCCCTACATCGCGAAGAAATTTGCTTTTGCTTTGAATGTAGTATAGTAGTAAGTAGTATTCTACAGTATAGTGGAATACCCTATAAATATCTGCCCTCTTTCATCCCTTCGGGCTAGGTTAATCTCGTTTGGGAAGATGAAATCACTGGCTTGCTCATCGGAAAAAATGGATGAACTGATTAACGTCGGAAGACTTTACCCTAGTCCTTCCAAGTAGAATACGCTGCTAGACAAAAGCTAAGGGCGAATGTAATTTTCGCATAATTTGCCCATTTCGAGTATTATAGCTTAGTGGTTCTCAGACCATACATGTAAAGAGGTGGTAGTTCCAATTCTCGTTTGTAGAAACGGTAGGAAGTGTTTCTTCCTGTCTATCGCCCTTAATTTCGCTCACCGATCCGGTTGTTGTTCCACTCTTGCTCTTATTTCTCTTAGAAAGATATTTTTGGACTCGTTTTTCCATAAATTAATCTACATAGCAACAAATTAGGTGTCGCCATCCAACCTCAGGCAGCCGCTGTTGACATTTTCCCATTTGCACCGAGAATAGTTCACATGTAATTTGGGCAGCAACCGTTGAATGTCGAATGTATCGAATAGGATGACATTTCCGACGAGCTGTCCCATACGACTCATATTCTTAATTTGAAGGGAAGAGGGATAGGGCTCGGAGAGAGAAGTACTTCATGCATGCAAAATATATTTTTTTCATCACTTGCTTTGTTCGAGTTTGATTCTCCAGCTTGCTTTTGCCATAACGACTTTGAATGCTCTTCGAAACGTCCGTAAAGGCATATGGAAGGGCCCTACAATTCTGGTAATTTTTTTGTCGGTTTAGGAAAATCAAACGATCAACTGAGCCTCTTCAAGCTGGTTTTCAATTTCACTAACGGGAAAATCTTTTTTACGACGATGTTGACGGATGACTGATCGGCTATAAGCCTTTTTCCTTACTCATTAGGGCTGGTTTTTTTTCTTCGGAGAAAATGAAGAGTTTCGCTTCGGATTGTCGGAAATTCAGTACAGTTATCAGTCATAGCTGTCATTTTGATTTACGCAGTTGTCAATACCTATGATGTGAATTTCCTTCCTCCAATGTCGTCCCAAAATAGGTCCGGTACAACATGACAGCCTTCCAGGAAACCTCTCTCCGCGTTAACATAGTGTTTCAATTTGATGTTGATTCTGTAGATGCAGGGGTTTTTTTTGTTCTCAGAACTGAACGGGCATTCACTCTTTCCTTTTTTTCCACAGGGAGGCATCAGGGTACGCTCAGTGGCAATTGATGATACTCGGTGTTCCGCGAATCTAATGGTGAGTGCGAAAAACAACGCTTGCAAATGGAATTCGTAGCTCCAGCATAGTAATGAAAAAGATGCTAATGTGTCAATAACTGAATTGATCTTTTTTGAGTAGGTACTGCTGTAAACAGGCATAACACAAAACATAGTTATGCACGGCAGAATCCTTGTTGATTGAAGGGTTTTGTTTTCGCCTATATTTACTTTCTGTGCTGTAGTAGTAGCTGGTTTAGCAGTATGTACTAGCTACTAGGGGAAAGGGATTGTAATGTGGCGCACGACAAGTCTCTGGAAGGACCGGGAAAGGATTAGGTGCAGCATCTGAAACCTCTAAAAAGCAATAGTCAACGAGCTTGTCAGGTCATTGACCTTCCGCATGATTCAACTCGCTCAGTACTACTTTTTGCCATCCAAAATGTCTTGTCATGGGTTAGCGTAAGTTCCTTGTGAAGCTAGTGGAAATCTTCCTTCGCAATTGTTATGAATTGGCCTAGCGTTGAGCAAACCTGTTAAATAATCCTCATTCTTTAGAGCGGGACCAAAAGCTGTCGTCTTTGTTTCTGGAATTTTTGGAAAATAACTTCGGAAACCTTCTTCCTCCTGCAACCTTTTCTAGCCAGCTTCTTCTGGTGTCATGTAGAGCAGGAACAGAAGCCCCTGCACTCCGTAGTCAGTTCTTATCTGGGCAAAATGAGAAGACCTTCGTTTCTGTCTGCCCTCCTTGGTCACCTTCTTCTGCTAGGTGACTTGAGCTGGGTCGGAACCTGATTCACTGCGCACACAAGCACATTCGTCATCGCTTTATGGGCTCATTAACGTCCCCATTTCCACCTATGCATGGTGCTATGATTCAAAGAAAGACTCATATATTCTATGCGTTTAGAGGCTGAATGTTGCCAGTTCCTGTTTGATCAAAACGGCACAATGGGGCATTGCGCTTTGGAACGGCCACAATCCTTAGATTATATCATATGACGTTCACACATTGGGGAGAACGGGTTTCCTGAATGAGCTCATCTGGCGCTGCAAGCCTTATAGGGCATAACGGTGTGGGAAGACGGGAAAGATGGGCTCTGCTAGGGTCAGAAGAAGTCAACCAGTTGCTCAGTCACTGGCCTTCATTGTGGCCTTCCTATCAGATCTCATTTTCCAATTTGATAAGCGCGTTATCATTTGGCTGTAATGCTTTCATAAATATTAGTCGCTGATCGATTCGTCGTGATAAGAGAAAAGCGAAGTTGCAGCCTAATCACCAACAA